TCTATCTTCACTTCTCAACACCTCCTCCCTGTTTGCCTCTATCTTTACATCCACCACCTCCCCCCAACTCCACCTGGCATGTTTCCCTCTCTATCACACGTTACATCTCTCCCTCTTCCTGTCTCTCTCTCTGTCTCCCTCTGCCTATCTTCCTTCCTTCCTGCTCTGTCTCATCCTGTTGCTCCGGGTTGTTATGTTTTTTTTTCCTGATTTGTCTCGGTCTGTTCCTCAATATTCAATTTCACTTCAAAAACAAAAGTATTTAATGAGAAATAAAACAAATAAGACACTGTAATGTTGGGTCAAGTAATAATCATACAGGAATGACTGATATAGCATAGCATATATCATTCAAACATATTGCTTGTAATTCCAATTCAGATCTGGTCATGTTAGTGTGTTTCACCTCTAGTATGATGGATATGATGCATTTTATGTTCCTCAAGAACAAATCACTGCTACACTGGCTGGCCGCGGAAAAGCCCTCAGGCTGCTCTTTTTCATCAAAGGGCAAACAAGTACAAGTATGAATAATTTCTTTTTTGTTGTCTTCATCCAGGTTTTCGCTGCCACGCTGTCGGCTTTCTTTTATTGACAGATACCAAAACAGTTGCACTAAAATAAATGATCAATTACCGAACCTGGAGCTAAACTAAAGTTTAGTTTTTTTCCCCTTTCTAATCTCCTAACACACCTGATTAGTTGTAGTGAAGTGCTTTAAGGCTGCTTAGGCATTTTATGGAGTGAAAGGCCATGCAGGGTGGAGTAAATTTACCCCAGCAGCACAGAGGTAGACATTAACTGAGATTTAACTGGAGACTTGGGGGTCTTACATCACCGGGAACATGACAAAGACAGAGAAAGAGAGAAGGAGAGAGAGATAGAGGAAGAGAGGGACTGAAAATACTCTTGACACAGAGTAACAATTTGTTTCATTTCTCCCCTGGTATCATTACTGTACACAACTCCTCTTCCTCTACTGTACCTTGGGTTTCATCACATTTGTTTTCCAGACCTCTTTAAACCTTAAACCTATAATTACCGTACTAACTTATTTAACTGTGTGAGTTAAGTAGGCGTCACAGTGGTTAGGGAAAACCACACTGATGTAGTCATATCCACTCGGGGAGAGTTCATTTATGTAACAGCACAACCTCACTCAGTGCTGCTCCACAGAATAGCATACCGCTGATAAACCACTCTTGATTGACAAGCACATGGACGGCCTAAAGGTATGAGCAACAGAGAATCAAGAGAACACAATGGCGTAAGATGTTAAAACAGGTAAATGAGGCTGACAATCAAATCCACACTCCATGCATCACCCGTTCTTAAAACTACAAATGAGAGAGAACCCTTAAAAAACTGTTTTCATAAACAGATCACATACACACACACACACGAAAGAATTTACATTGGCACCACCCAACATAAGTTCCCTTAATGAGTGAATACATTAAAAGAAAATTAACAATGCTGTGTTTGCACATCAGTGTTTCCTTGTAGAGCTTTATTCAAAGCTTGCACAGCCTGCCATAGTCCACTGCAAAAACTGACAATTACATTTCTACCTTGCTTATTGGTAAAATACCACCTCTTGTCTGTCAACTGTTATTTTCTTTTTCACTTGAAAAAGCAGTTGACATTTTCATACCAGTTATTTTGGTGTTTCACTAAATCCATCATATTTGATTGGCAAAATCTTCCTTATACCCGACCATTAAGGTTTTCACAAATACTAAAGGCATTTACTGAAGAAGCAGTGCATAATCAACAGCACATCAGGTGTTTAATGTAGAGTAGAAGGAAATTGATGTGGTTCAGACTGATTAATTTCGAAGACAATCCAGCTTCTTCGTACCATTAGCTACTCTTTGTCGGTTATAGCTACGGTTATAAGCTGCCAAGCAACATTACCAAGCTAATGAAGCCCAAATTGCTCGGTTTTTGAGAGCAAGATGACAATGTTCACCAAATGATAAGCCACCAGCTGATTTTCCTCTATCTTCTGCAACTGGAAACTTTGTTTGAAATAACAGAAGACACAGTCCATGCTAGTAAACCATGCTGGCTTGTACAGCCTGTTTGATCATCCGCAATAAACATTGCTGCTTCCCCAGTCAGTACTAGAAATTCAATTTTTAATGGAACTCTGGGATATGTATTATGAAAATGAATGTGACCACGAGTTGCAGCCACAGATTTAGCAAAACATAAAAAAATAAAAAACAATCTTTAGGATTAACACTTTTTGCTGAGTAAATGAGTCTGATCCAGTGAAGTGTAGCGTACTGCACAAACAAATGTTCCCCCAAAAACCTAATTATTCAAATTATTTTTCTACACTGCTAGACACTTTTATACAAATAAAAGTATCAGAACGAAAGCATGACACTTCACCTCTATAAACCACTTTGTCAGGCACAGAAGAATAACAGCATCAATGTCAGTGACACCTGCTCACTGGCATGACATATGAGGTACCTACTCTACATGGAACAGAGCCATTATCATATTATTGTTCCTGCAAGTCAAAATGACTGCTGTAGGAAAGGTATATTTCTCATATAAAGACACACCTCCTATGTACTGTAGGTGTGATTGATAGCATGTACTGTATAGATTGCCTGTGGTCATTAATTTAACACTTCATTACAGCTCGTTAGAACTACAGGGGGAAACTCTTAGCTGAAAGAATCCTCTAGGTAATGACTACAGCCAGTACAAACACTTTATCTGGAGGAGTTTATTCTATGAGACAAAGTTGTCAAGTGTTTTACAAAGCACAGGGTCCTATATACTGTGATATTTCTCTTTGGCAAAAACCTTTATGGAGCAGAAATACACCACTGCTGGCTGAGGCTAGAAACACTGTATACGTGAACATCCTGTTGATTGAAGTCCATCCTCTGAAGAAAGACTGCATTACCCTGTACATCTCTTTTTCTTACACATCATTAACGCCAGGAGATGCTTTACTGCCTATTTTAACAACTGAAACAATCTAACTTTCTGCACTATGCTTCGTTGCATTGCATATTATTGATAGAGTTTAATGAAACTGCATCACTGAAATGTATCTTAGAGCTACTATATAAAAGCTTTGATCCGCATGAATAGAAGGATAGAAAGACGGTTTCATTTTAAATGACTACAGCAAAATGCAAAGCCCTCAAAACACTTGAGTGGAAAAAAGAAGAAAAGAACAAACAGAATTTGTCCTACATCCAAGCAAGCAGAGTTGAAATAACATGGATCAGTCTGCCTTGAACTCATTTCTGGACTACTTTACTGTGAGAAATTGAGGGTAAACCTGGGCAGAACTACATCTGAGAAAAGGTGTGCCGCAAAATCTTTCATTTTTGGCTGGGATCATAGTAGATCCCTTTTGTACGCAGTACAGAAGAGAAGACATTTACAAGGTTTCTCTGTCATGCTCAAATGATTCATTCAAACTTTTGGACCAAAAATCAAACATTCGTGTACGAAGAACTAGATTTCAAGGACCAGAGAAGTTCCTCTATAGTTAAAAAAATGAGAATGTACCATCATTATGAACTTCTGGTTCTCTCCATAATCTCAATTTATGATCAATGACACATGGTGTTAAGAATATTCTCACAGTCCCTGAAGAGTAAAAGAGTGAATAACAGATTTATAAAGGCTGTGATAGAGCAGAGAAAAAGAAATTCACAGGCAAAAATTACACCAATATATATACGTTTTGCCTCTGGTGTGTATGTGTACTCTTTTACTACTATCTTTTTAGGATGGAGGACAATGTAGCTTATTGACAGTTTGCCTTCAGAGGGCACTCTGTAAGCAGGACAACTTCCACCAGCTCTGAGCAATTCTTCAAATTACACAGCTGCAGCCCCAGCAACAATTTATGTTTTGTTTATTGTTTGTTTTCCTGGATTGATTTCCATCAAAGTATCACGTGTGACACTGCTTTGCAGCTGACGTGGAAGTCCTGGGCGTTAGGCCCTTCTAACAACAATGAATTCAGTCATGGCTAAAAATAGAAATGATCAAACAGCAAACTTGGATCACCAGGGACACTGAATCTGTCTCCATATTACATCCAAATTAGTTTGTGACTTTTTTTTCCAGAGGCTATTTTTTCTCATGCACTTTTGACTTAGACACTTGACAGTTTAGAGTCATATAAAACATGGGAAGTTGCATTTCCATATGTAAAACCATGACTAAACCTTCTGTATATGAGCAAAGCATAGGAGCTTAACACCAAACAACATGAATATGATCTGATCTACTCCTGTGAAACTGTCAGTCACTGAGCGAGTGTGTGTCGACACTGGCGATACAGTGGAAATAATCTGGACCATTTCAAATCCTCTCTCTTTGGGAAAAGTAAACAGTATTTTTCCAGTCTTTAAGCAAATCTCCATTTCAAAGTGCACAAAATGCATAATTTTGTGCCCCTTTGCACCTTGCTACTTTGAAATGCTAATGATGGCTGTGGTTCGTGCTTGCTGGCCTGTGTGTGTGTGAGAACGAGAGAGCACATGTGTGATGGAGTGTGATTGGTTTGTATAGCCTTGCTGTTGACTGAATGACGTCTACAGCTCTCATTTGTCCCGTTTGCTCTCATTTGTTACACACACAAAACCTCAAATCTCTGAGAACCCCCTCCCCTCTCTCTCTCACACAGTCACACACACACACACACACACACACACACACACACACACACACCCCTACACACACCCCTACACACACAGACAGTCCTGCAATGCTCCATATCTATCTTGATGTACTGAGGAAGGTGAGCGCTCTTCCAGCCATTACTCCTCATATATCAAGTCATGGACTCTGCCGCCTCCCTGGCTATTGCACCTATACATCTCACACACCCACCCTGCTTTTATCTCTGCAGTTACTCCGGAAAAGGTCATGACCTATGTAGGGTTCATTAATCACGCGGCACAGACTTCTCTGATTGGTGCGTTCACATTTAACACAGGGCGGAGACTGACCTTTGAAAAGCGAGGGGCAGCGATGGGGAGACCAGTTGTTAGGGTCTGCAATATAAAGGGGTGATAAGCACGATAAGTGTTTAACTCATTCTGGATGTGAAAGTCTATAAAGACAAAGAGAATGAAACAGGAAATATGTCCCTCAGGATATAACTTCAGACAGTTTGACTTGTTCTCCTCCTGTACGACCAGATTAATCTTCAAGTGGATGGTCTGATGGTTTTGAAGCAATATCTCTCACTTTCCAGGCCTCTTCTCTCACTGTGACTTCTATTCTTTCCTCAATGTGTAAAAGATGACTTCTCTATATTAACACTTGTACTTTTGGTTTCAAGTCTATTCAGGGCTGTGTGTGGGTGTGTGTATGTGTGTGTTAAGGATCTCTCTTGGCAGTCGGATGAGCTCTAAAGGAGATGACAGTGAATAGTAAAAGAAGGGAGGAAGGATGGATGTAGCAGTTGGGAAAACATGGTGGTTTATCTACAGAATATGTGTCCTTGGAGGAAGAAATAGTAAAAGAATGCCAAAATGAAATTTGAGGGCCAAGCGATCTCCAGGAAATGTAGTGCAAAAGCCTCAATCTAGACAAAAAACAATGAGGATTGCCATATTATGCATCTGGGAACTCATTTATAAACATTGTGCGTGCCCAAAAGAAGGAGGTTTGAAAGAAGTATACACCACTTCCTGTGCGGAAGTTAAACAAATTTAACAGGAGCTTGTGTGCAAAAGTGAAGTGGTGAAATAAACCTGAATGTTTTAATGAGCCATACTCTACAATAATTACACCCTGTCATAGGAGACATCTATAGCTAATCAGTGTTTGTTTGTTTGTTTTTCATTTCAGAAACTAGATATGAAATGACAAGCAGCTAATGAAGTGCGATGCGCTCTTATTAAGGAACGCCTTCTTAACTGTTTTTTTTTTCTCTGTGTTTAAAACTCAGATCAGACCTCAAGATTATTGAAACCTAAAAAGACTAGACACCTCACACAAAATAATTATTTCCACAAGATTTTTTGTGTTGCTAGGCAACCTCCAAATCCCGTAACCAGATATTGTACCTAAAGAGAAACAGCCATCCATCATAAATAGTTTGTCTGGTAATTTATAGTGTCGGTTTACATTTCAGAGAAGGTGAAGAAAACGAGGAGAGACATCAAGTTTTGATGAGATGCCGGCAACAAGAACTGTGAATTCTTCAGTTCAGTGTGTGAAAAGTGAGGTGAACTCCAGGTGAGCTGTGGCCCTGCTCTGAAACCTGATTAACTGGATTATAAAATAATTTTCGCTCACGGCACACTACACTGTTGTGCCAGTTGATTGCTTTTTTCTTAATTTTCTACAAGTAATTTTCTACCGCTATGAGATGTTGACGGTCCTATTCCGGCAGTAAAAATTGTGTTTAAAATCATCATTACAAGAACTATGGCAGATACTGTAATGGTTTGATATACTGCTGACTGTCAGCAAGAACTAGACAGGCTGGAGCATACTTGGTCCAACTTGATGGTCTGATCGGTCTTGCTGCCAAAATCATACTGTGACTATATACTAACTTTAATCAAAATGCCCTAAAAATTATAAGGCATGATTCCATCTTTAGCAGATTTCCTTGTTGGTTTGCGTGTAATCGCTCGCTCTGATTTGAACATCAGGCCTGCAAAACTGGATGAAAAAGAAAGCAGTTCTGGGCTCCTGGTTAGCTCAGTGGGTAGAGCTGGCGACCCATGTACAGAGGCTCAGTCCTTGCTGCAGCGGCCCCGGGTTCGAATCTGACCTGCGGCCCTTTGCTGCGTGTCATCCCCTCTCTCTCTCTGCCCCCCTTTCCTGTCTGTCTTCAGCTGTCCTATCAAATAAAGGCAATAAAAGCCCCAAAAAATACTTAAAAAAAAAAAAAAAAAGCAGTTCTGAGAATGGGGACGAACTTTGCTCCACTTTAAGGGTGTCGCCGCTGCCACTTGGCAAACAAAGCTACAGGTGTAAAGTTCACTATGGACAAGGTTATGTGGCTGAAACTCAACTAAACAGCAACATTTGAAGCTTTAAATATAGCTTTATTACAAACATAAAGTTAAAGTGGGTTCTTGCCTTAAGTGCAAGTGCAAGCATGTCTGCCCAGATGGAGCATGGACAAAAACTCTACATGAATCAAAGGGGTAGTATTAAGCTAAACTAGGCTATATAAATAGATAAATAAACTTGACATCTGCGTTTGTGTGTGTGTGTGGTAGGTGTCTCACACGTGTCTGAGACCCCAGGGAGCTGACTGGGAGACGTGGAGGGATTGGGTAGCAGCGTGTAATGACTTTAGGGGCCATGGGGTGGGCTGGATCAGGTGGCACATTAGGTGGGTGGACCACAAGTCGTCTGTGAGCACACACAAACACACCCACACACACTCAGAGGAATACCGCAGGCAATATTCACAGATGTACAGTATACAGTAATGTATACCAACTGACACAGGCAGGAAGACACACATGCAAGTAGTTAAAAGCACACACAAACACGCACACACTGCCTGTTCAGATAATCTTGCATAACAAAAATGTGGTTCCCCTTCCTGACCTTCTCCTGACTCATCTTGACCTGGTAATAACCCCGAACCATTAGCAGACTGTACGTGTGTGTGCGAGCGAGTGTGTGCATGTACACTGGTATCCTCAGCTGTTCAGCTCATTCACAGTGTTCAGCTGCTCCACCGAGCTGATTTCTCTACAGTGTCTTCACAGCTCTATCTGAGCCTCTGTCACTTCACATCTCTACAGGGTATTATCTCACTTGCTGCCATTGCATTTTCTTCAACTGTTAATTAACCTGTCCCATTGAATACCGCTGTTTCTGAGAGAAAAGCCCAAAGTGCCATGACAAAGATAAAAGCTGTGGAGGCCCTTACCTTTGCTACCACCTACAGTAAGTAACAGGCTGGAACTAAAGTTGTTATCCCTGTAGAACAGATGAGAAATGACAGAAAAGTTGACATTGTTCTTTTATTTTGTTCTCAGCACTTTTATCTTCTGTAGTCCAAGGATAACAGCAGCATTAGACTTCAATGTGTTTGATTTTCTGATCTTTCATTAGAGAGAAAACTGACATCCTGATTTTAGATTTTTTTTAAAAAACAGCTGGTTTGGGAAATAAAACTGAAATGTATTAATTAGAAGTGTTTCTACTTATTATGCATATATAATGTGTATGTAGTAGTGTACAAATTGCTGCTCTAGGGAGTCATCCTATTACTTTTGAAATGCGTACAGAGTTCTTAAAACCCACATATTCTGTCTGTGTCTGATATTATTTTATCATATCCTTCTGCATACGCACATACAGGACGTCGTGGGATATGGGAGAGAGACCTATCCGTAACAAAGACAAATATTCACCAAATCCCACCAGACAATGCATAATTCATCACATAGGGATTTGAATTATATATATCGATCATCAAATATTTACAGTATTTGCGTTTTTCAAGAACGGGCTCTGGATGTAGTCTTTCTCTGGATTGGCTCAATGTGATGGGAGGGGGGGAGCAAAACAGGATTTTGGTTTCACAGGGGTATAAAACAAGATGATGAAATGAGATGGGATCAAGTTTGATCCTTTTTTTATTCCTTCTCCCCATGAGTTTTGAAATTACATTCTTGCACTTTGTTTAACACGCTTTCTTTATTATTCAGTTAATTTAAATTTCGATAAAGGTAAAATGTCTCATACACTACAGCTTTAAGCTACAGAGATATATAGATCTATAAATCATATTCTCTAGATGTAAGGGGAAATGCTTGTTTGGTACAGACTCCAGCAAAAATTACATCATCATTTTTCATGTATTTCAGTGACAACGAAATGGAAAAATTACCATTCACACTAAAATCGTGACTCATATCTAAATCGCAATATCTGTCAAAAGAGCAGACTGATGGCAAATTAAAAGGTGGTAAAATGAGGATGAGGGGAGCCACCAACTATTGAGTTAAACCATTGTAAGCTGTTATATACACACACAGGCACACATATGCACATGCTTGTCATCCAAGCCCACCTCATGTCAGACAAACAGATCTGCTTGATCTGTTTGAATTTTCAGCCAAAAAACACAGGTGGGCGAAATAATGGGAACATACAGTAATACAATATACTTCAATCCAATCCAACAGGCCTGAAATAAACAAGAATTTGAATTACAATAGAATTACAATAGAATATAGCCTAAGCTGTTCGTGATATTTTGTCCACCCCTGTTTAAATTGCCCCAATGAATAGTGGATTTATTCCTCCAGAAATACATGGTTTTGGTTAAGATAAGACGCAGATTAACTGTGTATGTATGTGTGTGTGTGTGTGTGTGTGTGTGTGTGTGTGTGTGTGTGTGTGTGTGCATAGGTTATAATTATTTTTAAAGGAGATTAAACCCTTATTTTGGCAAACATCTTACTCAGAAATTATCCTTCTTACATATACACACACACACACACGCACCAACACACTGATGCGCTGTAGGGGAAGTGTGATTGGGAAGTGGGCCAAATGAGAGGGAGAGTCGCGTGAAAACGAAAGAGAGAGAGAAGGATTGAGAGAGACATTGAACATAGATAGAAAGATAGGGAGGCAAGTAGGACAGATGTACCAGGCCACAGTGGGTCAGATAACGCCTCACTGATGGAGAGAGACAGAAAGAAATCTGATCCTCTGATACTCTTTCTTTCCTTCTCTCTCTCTCTCTCTCTCTGTTCCTCTGTATGTGTCTAGCTCTCTCTCTCACCGAGTCTTGCAGTCAAGCATGCAGCTGTCAGCAGCTCTGCCACCTTCTGTCTATGGCAGCTCAGTAAAATACAACTCCATCAAACAGAAATTGTACTGTATATTAAAGGCATTCACGGTTTGGTACATTTTGGGTGCAAGAAAAAAAAAAAAGAAATGCAAAATAATGTAGTAGTTATGTACGTAAGCACAGCAGTGATTTCAGCTAAATGCTAACATCAGCATGCTAACATGCTTTATGTCTAGCAGAAATAATGTTCATGGACCATGTTCGCCA